AGTTGCAAATTTACTCTCACCACGTTCAGTTGCAAACTGTAATGCTCGCGCCCAAATGTAGACACTCCATGGCAGATCTGGCACTAAACATTCAACATACCTGCGACTAACAGATATCTACAAGACATCGTAACAAATAAAATTTGAATGAAAATGTTTATTTGAAGGCGTGCTTGGAGTAGTAGTAAGAGGGACTCCTGCAGTGCGGATGGTGTTGTTTCCATCTAGGACCATAGGCTCTCTAAGCCCTCTATCTTTACGGGTTCGTTCAATTGGTAGCAAAATTCTCTGAGATGGCAAAATCACTGTCATCACAAGTGGTCATACTGACCAAAAATGCATTCAAGTACCTCTACGATGTTTAATAGAGCAACGCAAAGCGCGTCCCTTAGGAAATGATCAATGGTGAGCGCTTCATCCACTTATAATTTATATTTGATTGAAACTAGATAAAAAGTTTGAAAAAATTGATGTTGCGGCAAAAAAAGCAAAATGAGGTATGAATTATAACCACAATGATGCTGACATATTTGCAAAACTCCGGACCACGGGTGTCTGCGGTGGTGATCGAGCACGGTACTACCCTCTCCGGAAACTGACGCGTTCGCCACCACATCATGCGGGTATTTCGTTTCGCCTTCCTCTCACCAATGTTTTTAACTCATAGCTGCTATCAGCAATCACACGCCAAAGTTACTGATCTCAGAAGCACCAATCAGCATCGAACCCAGTTAAGCTGAAGCTGCAGTATATTTCACAATGTAATTGCTTTTATTTACTGCCTAGTCTTCTTCACGGGAAGGCATGATGAGAACTATTACCACTAAGTGAAAAGAAAAAACACGGCTGAAAGGCGAAACGAAGGGCCCGCATAGTGTGGTAGTGAACGCGTTAGGCTCCGGAAAGCGTAATAGGGTGCTCGATACCCACCGCAGACACATGCGGTGCGAGGTTTTGCAATTATCTCAGCATAATTGTGGTTGAAATTCACATCATACCCTGTTATGAAAAAGAATACGCAGTAAATAAGAAACTGATTACAATATAAGGTATTTCCTCATATTTCTCATGTTGCTTGTTCATGGGCCGTAGATAACAGTGCTCTTTAGTCTTTGCTATTAACTTCCTATGTGATTTAAAAGACAGCACCATTGATAACTGGGAAGATGCGAAAGCATCTGCTGATTTGGACAATGATAATTATAGTAAGATGTGGAAACATCGCTTTATATCATACATTATGCGAAGGGGTGCAGTTAAATAACGCAGTTCGGCAACAAGCTGGCCGGCAGGAGCATCACCCATCTTTTGACCAAAAGCCCAAGCACAAAACTTGTATTATAATACTGTCTCAGATGAAATCCTCTACGAGGTGCTCCTATAATTTCAGTTCATTAAGAAGTTTTAGTCGTAGATCTACCACAAGCAAGAAAATCGAGTAAAGAGAAGAGATCTGATGTTAAAGCCTCTTACCACATAGCTAGTCTTTCAACTAAAAACATACGAAAGAACCCTCCAGAAGCTATTATAAATAAATGCCGTCGAACATTGACGTGCATTTAATGTTACACACGTGGAAACAATTCCTGCGTCCATGACCCATCAAGCCTTTCATCCCTCCGGGGTAGGCAAATTGGTAACCAGACTTATCTGGGAGGGTAGCATCACTGGCTCGACACAACGGCAGGTCACCGCGGGTTATTGTAAAGGCCAGATATGCATTCAGTCACCTCCAACGATGTCTAATGATGTCGAAAGCATGGTGCACCCCTCAAGGTTTGATCAACGCCGAGAGCTTTATCTTTTCTTATACTTTTATTCTGAGTCCTAATGAATGAAGAGGGAATCATAATTCCATAACTTTTTATTTGATTTCAATTACTTTTTCATGGCAGAGCTCGAGCTGAAGTATAATCACAAAGATACCAAGATATGAGCAAACCTCGGAACCTCTGCGAGGTTTCGAACTTGCGATTACTCACCCTTACTGTGAGCTGACGTGCTTTCCACTGCACCAACTGAGAGCAGTGTTTCGTCCTTATTTCAGCCATTTCTTAAGCTATTCGCGGTATCAGTAATATCCCTTCAATGGAAATGACCGAGTGCGGTGTACAGCAAGTGAGACTTTGATGATGATAATCATGTGCTCGAAGCCACACTGAGGTTCCGAGCTTTGCTCTTATTTCAACATCCTTGGGGAAAGAAGTATTCCCATCTGATACCATGATATTTCACTAATCCTCCTCATAGCAGAATCCCCGTTTGCTAGTCGCGAAGGTAACGTAGCACGGCTCCAGGTGGTGGAAGGAGGAACAATCGGATACCAGAAGTGACATCATAGTTCGCTGAGACCAAGGTCGATGCAGATGATGGATTCTTCGCTTCTGCTGGACCGATTTGGCACATAAATTGTATATTTACGAAGACGTATTCATGCATGCGTGCGTGGGTTGTTCCCATTTACGCCGACTGCGTTCTACGAGTCATTTCGGCCAAAGCCTGCAATCAAGCATTAAGGGAGTATGTGGGAGGTCATCACGAGCCGTCTTCAAAAAGTAAGCTCTTCATCTTCTCTGAGAGAAACTGACAAGCTACCCGTGAGTAAACCCTCCCCCATTTTTACTCAGCAAGCTATACGTCAGTATAAAAAGCTAAACATAGTAAAATAAACGGGCGTCTTTCCTCTGACCAAAAAGACGCCCCGATTCGGCATCGTTGGGTAGGTCGAGTACGGACAAGCTATTAAATCTCAGAGCCATTCTAAGCGGCCTAAGCCGCAAAAGACTAAGGCAATGATATGTACCCACAGCACGCACACTTGCATCCGAGTCCTCGATAGAAGACTTGCTCATGCAAGCAAGAAAGATAAAGTACGACCACGAACATGAACCACGGTCAACTGCCAACTCATGCCGGAACATGAAAAGCAATGCAGACATCCGATAAAAAAAAGATCGTGACGGCAGAAAACCAGCAGTTACGGTCGAGGCTGCAGAATCTGAGAAAAGCATCCTCAAAGTACACCTAATTTTTGCCAATTACAAAACTATGGTGACTGAACTCCGACGCCGAGATGAAACAGATCCAGCCTCCAGAAAGGCAATGAAGAAAATCATTCACGATTACTACTCTGGTCTTTTGAGGAGCCAGGTCCTCCTGTCCTTAAATAAAATAAAGGAGGATGGATATATCTAACCACCACTTCTCCCTTCCGAAATCCGACGTGCTATTTCGTTGGTGAAAAATCGAACAGCACCAGGTCCAGTCAGAATAAGACCAGAACACCTGAAGAACCTTCGGCCAGTCCTCGTAAACACACTGGCTCGGCTCTTCACACGTTACCTGTATGAATGCAAGGTCCCTATTGAGTGGAAGAGCACCAAGACAGTGCTATTGTTCAAAAAGGGTGACCTGCACGATATCGGCAACCAACAGCATTGTCAGAACACTGGACGAAGGACAACCATGTGAGCAAGCAGGATTTCGAAAAGGATGATGGACCACATCCACACGATAGCAATACTCAATGAAGTATCGCGAGAGTACAAGAGATGTCTCACTTCCATCGATTTAAAGAACGCCTTTGACTCAACTGAGATAGAAGCAATCATGGAAACCCCGGGCGGTTAGGGCGTCCCTACTCAGTGTATAAAAGATTCTTCGTGAAAGTGCATCTTCGTGCGTGATGCAATGATAGACAAATCAAAATAGGTGGTTTACGGAGAAATATATTGATATCCGAAGCGAAGACGTTCGTTGAACATGATTTACAAGAAATTATATAGAAGAAGAGCAGCATGTGTTGCATCTAGATAGCTGTTAAGTTGGTGGATCCCCATTTCAGCTCACAAAATTGAGCACCTTTTGGAGAAATATAGACCACACACATATGAGGAAATCAGACTATGGACATCTGGTGTTCGGAATCTTCGGAAAGCGATACACAGACGAACCGGTTATACGGAGAGAAGAGTTGACGACAGCTAATCAAGAACAGTGAATCAGAGAAAGATTAAAGCGTTTTTATGGCGAAATAATTTGATTCTCAAAAAAACTAATTCCTTTTCTGATCTTTTTCAGTATTATGTACACGCAATTGGTGGTGATCACGCAGAATGACGTGATTTGTTCGAAGCCGAACACCGCTATGGACAAAGATCACTAGGAAAGGAGCAAATGGAAAATGTGTTAGAGAAAACGCAACTCGAAAAAACCAATCAACACTGTATTCAAGGGATTACTACTGCTTACCACTTCTCCAAAGTTGAACCGCGCTTATTAGTCTCCCAGTTTCTACTGCATAGTAGATAGCCTCCTGTAGTGCAAGCTGGATATCGTTAGGCAGACTTTTGAACTCGCTATAAGAATGTTTTAGATGAGCCAAGTAGCATAAGGGACAACATAAACAGCCAAAATATAAACAAAGAAGTGGTAAGGCACAACAATAACAAAACTGACATTTTTCCAATTTCGTTCGTCTTGATATGCGGATCATTCAAGCAGTCCTTCACTGTGGTTGAGAAATTTTGAGACACTGAGGATATGTTATGTACCAAAGAATTGCTTGATATTTCAAGAACTTACAAAACGTTAAAGTAAACTTGAGATAATAAATAATGAGTTTCCGATATTTGACTAATCTTAACTTCTAAGCTTACTCAAACTAAGCTAAAGAACCCCGTTATTAAAGGAGAGAGGTTTAGGTCTAACGTCGTACAGCGTGTGGATGTTACAGTTGTTAAAGCATCTCATGGATGTTTACAACAACCGTTTCTTTGGATTTCGCCACCTGTAACCACTGTTGCAAACTGTTTGGTAGCGGTAAACATTGGTATTTCGCGAAGAACTCACCACAGACTTTTTTCACAGCGTTTCTTAAATTAACAGCGATATTTTTAGCAACCCACCAAAGATTACAAAATTGAGATGATAAATGAAAATGAAACATTCAAGGAAATCAGTCTTTTCAACGATTGACCTTTCGATCACAGAATTATCAACTAACATCGGCCGATGAATATGTCGACGATTCGGGAGTGTCCTCGAGCACAAGCGGCTGCCAGTGCTGATGGAGATCCTACGGAACGGACTGAAGTCTTACGGTATTCCATCGTCGAACGAAACGCGTTCGCATCGAAGGACAACAGCTGTCTTACCATATCCTCGTCACCCAGTTGTGCTGCCACCTGTGAAGAATTGCTTCAAAATAACCGTATAGTCTCAACTTACAGTTTCATTTCAGAACAAAGGAAATCACTAGTTTGTTGATCTCACTGTAATTGTTGCTATCCTAACTTTTTTTTGAAGAAACTCTATTAAGTCATTTTTGAATGCAATTCGTAAATAAAAACCCGATTCTAACACAAGAAACAGCATAAATTTACTTCCATAGAGAAACACAATACAATACAACGCCAGCTGACGTTTCGGCAGTATTGCCTTCTTCAGAGCCTGGAAGGGTATACTGATGTACAATCTACTAGGCCAAACGCTTCAATAACACTTACAAAAAGGCGAAAAACTCTTCGGTAATTGCATGATCAACAACTCCTCGAAAAAAACAGTGTTTAAAAACCTCTCGATTGCTGAACAAGAAAACGACACATTTATATTCCAATGCCGAGGTTAAAAGAAAGTCGATCCTAGGAACTATTCCAAGATGTACAAGAAACAGCAATCTCTTTCAATCAAATGAATGGTGGTGCCTGAAGTGTAGTAACCTCCTAAAATTGATGAGAACTTACCAGTATAGCGAGAATAGAGAAAAACAATCTCCTCAATGATTTCTCTTTTCAGTTCTTCCACATTTCTTCCAGCCTATGCTTTTTAGTCTTCTAGAAATGTTATGATACTCATGGGTAATAGCTAATAGATAAGAAACGTTTTAACTGAGAGAACACATACAGAATACCTAAGCATATATGGAAAGCTTTGACTTACTTCTTTTCCCAGATGACTAGGCAAATGAATCTCTGATTTAATGTAGAATGCTTACCACCTGTAGACCTACTGGCTATTTGTATGATGTTTTCGCCACTCAACAGAACAGGTCGACCACGGTAGCAAATTCTGATCTTATACCTAAGAATCTACTTGAATACATAACATTCCTACTTGGATTGGCGATTCCTTTATCATCACATCGTTCTCGACCTGGACCTTGGAATGTAACAGCAGTTCAATACATGATGTATTTCGCTTTGCGACAGCCCTAGAATCGTACTCACGAAATAGAGCTGCTCACATACAAAAACCCATAAAAGCATTTAAAATTGAAATTATGATATTTTCTCAGTTTAGCAATGGTTCCCACCTTCGCATGTTTCATCAGAAACCTATATTCCTGATATTCAACATGCGGCAAAATAGCAATGCTGAATACGCAAACCATCTGATCTCACCATGTCAGTGGTGTCCATCCGGTATATTCCGAAAAAAGAAAAGGTCTTCGAACATCGCTTGGATTGGGCACTGGAACATTTGGGGAGAATCCGACCTTAATTAAACTGCGAAGAGCTTCAGTGTCGGAGCGTATGACGGCTTCAGACAGGAGGCTAAGACCCTGGAATACCGTAAACTTGATGGTCTTTCAAATGAGCGAATAACTAAACAAAAAGAAATGTGCGCGGATGTTTTATGATTTTCGTCTAAATCTAAGGCAAAAACATCACCAGTGTGAAATAAATATTTAAAAATGTAAACGAATGTTTTCTTTACAGATTTTTGCTAACCAGGGAACAATATCGACTCCAAAACTGACAAATTGATTGGTCGCTGTCCAATTCCCGGCCAATATCGCTGCTGCGTTATGAACGTGGTTGGACGACCCAGAAGCTGCAAGGTAAAAAGCAAATTCTTTTCTGGCACCAGCTAGAGAGAGATCCGTGTATTTCCGAATGTTTGTCGTGATGAGTGGAGGAGCACAATCACAGCCTAACACTACTCTTGCTGCCTGCAATACTATATTGTATGACTAGACATACATTTCTTTTCTTGCTGATAAATCAACATCTATCAGAAATTAATCCTTCTTGTTTTTCTCTAATCCCTAAAATTTGCCAGAGACAGTTTTCAGATTGATAAAATTTTTATTTACTTTGAACCATCTCAGAATTCTTTTCCTTTTAAGCAGTGTACATTAGCCCATACGGTCCGTATTGCATTGTCTTCGCTTAACAGGTTCACTGATCTGTCAGCGACTCTATCCGTCACAAATGCGTCACTGATCCACTCTGGATGTTCACTAGGCCTATTCATAGAAACCAAACTTTTTTCGAAATTCAAAGGCCCAAAGAATGGCTCGATTTTGGATGGGGTGATTAACTTGTCAACACTGAGAATTTTGAATGTCATTTGGATGATTGGTAACCTTTTTTGATGTGCCATGCTGATTTTTGCACAATTATTTTTTCCAATTTACCTATTTGCAAAGGTGTTGTGAATTTCCTTGCGAGCAAGACCGGGGTAGATTTTTATTCCACAACCTTCACTTTTTCGAAAAGTGACTTCCTATAATTGAAAGCTTCAAATATTCCGCCCAAGGATTGCTTCCATAGTGGAAGCTTTTCCAGCAATTTGGTGCATACCAATTTTTCTTCTATTTCTGGCTTGCAAAACGAATAGGTAAACATGAAGAAATCTGATGTACACCACGAAGATCAGCGTTAGCGAAACTCTGGTTTTGTATGAACGCAGTACGCAGTACGGTGCATGTCCTTCCACTTCGGTAGGAATAACTGTGAAAACAGGGATTTAGTTGCCTGTAGTGTCGGTTTTTTCTAAGCACAGCGATATAAGTGAAATAATTCAAGCCAATAAGATTGCTCTTCTACTTTTTGAACAACGTTATCTTATGGAGGACTAAGATGATAACAGCTCCAAAGCGCCCTTAGTCTTTAGCGGAGCAAAATCCGCTCTTCTATAGAGCGGAAACAAATCATCGGAGAATGGAAATAATGGTGGGCTCCCGCAACAAGTGAAGACAAGCCATCCAAGTATTAACTAACTATAGAGTGGAAACAGATTCTTCGTCTTTTGATGATGACATGTCCTTCAGAATGGCATCTGGTCTCTGAAGGCGGCCTACAATTAGTTCGTCTTTTGCATGGGAAAGGCGAACTCTTTGGTTCGTGCAACAATTTACGGGAGAAGACTCCCCACCCACTCCTTAGCGCGTACTTCAAGATCGAGCAATTTTGTGTACCGGACATTCTCCATTGTGTTTATTGATGCGATGACAGAGAATTAATTATGAAGCATGTGGAGCTGCAGAGAGTTTCTCGTGACCGTCGTGTAGCTTGCTTTAAACACCCGCGTTTACCCTTCGCGTTCACTGCAGCGATAACGCGTATCATATGTTATTCCATTAATCATTGAGTAACATAAGAGCGTGTCAGGAAACTTCATACGGCCTGCTGTGTAAGAGCGATTCACTGGGCTGCCCTGATCACAAAAAACACCAATTTTTTGTTAGGTCTTTTTAAAGCTGTTGGCAAAAAGATGACTACGAGAAAAGGAAAACGAATATTATATTTCAGAACGATGTAACCTGTTGAACGTCGACGTCGTCTACTGTGCTGGACATTCTGTGCTCGGCAAAAGCAAACATAATTCGCGTCCAATTTGCAATAGGAACGCCTTTGCTTCTGCAAAATTCTCTCGCATTTGAATTCTGTTTACAACCTTAACTCTTTTATTTACTGCCTTTTTCTTCTTAATGGCAGGTTATGTTTCGAATTATAACTCGTATGAAATGCTGAGATATTTGCAAAACTCCGGACCACAGGTGTATGCAGTGGAAAACGAACACGCCCTGTTATCCTTACCGGGGAGCAGCGCACTTCACCACTACACCAACCTGGTCCTTCGCTTTGCATGTCTTTCAGCTAGTTCTATCGATCTTTTTTGCCATCAGCAATCACCCGTAAATAAAAGAGTTAAGATTGTGATTATAACTAAGCCTCAACTTAACTGGGTTCAATGCCGATATTGGCTCCCCAGATCAATCCCGTTGACGGGTGATTGCTGATGGCAAAAAAGATCGATAGAACTAGCTGAGAGACAGGCAAAACAAAGGACCCGGATGGTGTAGTGGTGAAGTCCGCTGCACCCGGTAGGGACAACAGCGCGTGTTCGTTCTCCACTGCATACACCTGTGGTCCGGAGTTTTGCAAATATCTCAGCATTTCATATCTGTTTACAACATTAAGCATTACGAGTGTACAGAGCCTTCCGCTGGCCTACTTTTGTGTCAAGCCAGCGCTCTTTGGTTCGATTCCGCCCCTGCGCTGACTAATCTACTATCCATGTAGTGGAGCGTAAACATATTACAGACTTGCCTACGTAGATAAAAAAAAACAGATTTGACACATTGGTAGGCTCGTGAAAGTTCTTGTATAAGACTAATACACATGGATTAATCAACACCAAACCTTCCCGTATACTATATAAACGATAAAAGGATAAAGCTCTTGATCAATCCTTGAGAGATGCGCCATGCATTCGATTTGAAGGCTTGGTAGGCCATGGGCGCGGTGATCGATTCTACGTGTGTGTTACAGGACGCCTTCGACCACTGCACCACATGCCACATGTACAATGTACATATATATATATATATATATATATATATATATATATATGCGCACATAAACTCACGTGGAACTTTGTTTATTCCCGATGAAATAGCGCAAGCACTGTAGTCCAGATGAACTCATTTGAACCCTGTAATCATGGTAAATTAGCGGTATTGTAGAAAATATATGTATGTGTATTGACTATTAAATTCAATCTGTGTTCTTAAACATGGATATATTGTATAAAAGAATCGATTCTTACAGACTACGCTGTTTTTGTCTTGACCATTGCAAAAATTCGGCGTACTGCGCAACGTCTTCTGCTCGACATTCATTTATTGACTGAAGAAGGCCCACTTTTGAAAGTACCACTGCAGAATCTACTTCTGAAACAGTTGTTAAAATTTATTCACCACATGGACGCCAAAGATTAGACGGATATAAATGTAAACAACCTTTTTGCTTGCACATGGATGCTAGACACGACACCAACGACTTGTGGGTAGATGTTATTTCGTTGAACTTCTGATGAGTGATGTCTTCTCGACCTTAGAGAAAAGTTTATCAACTAACTGCTAAAACTGCTAACAAAACATTCCAGTAAGATGATTCTCACATTTAGATATTTAGTTTAACAACCGAACATCAGGCGTTCACAAAAAATCATGTGTACTCTAGCAAAATTTCAATCAATTCATACGCAGTTCTTGCCGTAACTCGCTGTGGTATCTAGACGCCTGCTGCGAGGCGTTCTCATCTCAACACTACAGTCAGTACTAGTTGCTAGAAAATCACTTAAACGAGAGTTTGTCTGAATTGGTGGTGTAACAATCATCCTGTTCGATAATTGGAGTCCAATGCTGAAGAACAGACTGAACAATTGTTGAGGTAACCAAAGGTCTTCCTTCCTGATAGAATGCTAATTCCCGAATGCTTTGAGCAGCATGTGCGTTACCACGCTTCGACATCCATCACGGTTCATTAGTAGCAAGTTGGTGAAAAAATGCTTTTTGCCATCTCAACAAATTTCTGTGCTTCTTTCACCGGCAGAGAAGACAAATAGAAGACGTTGCATAATTGTGTGTGATGGTTTTGTCCAACAAGCGGTTCATGTTGGTTGCTGCTACATGCGTCTCATTGCAGTGAAGATAAGCAGTAGATCGCTACCCGAGTTCATCTATTGCCCAATTTTTTTTCTGCTAAATTCTATAAAGCTCTACGCTTATATAAATTTAATGGAAAACTAAACTCACAATATTCTCGAATACATAGCGCCTTCGATCCCTCTAAAACAGTATTTTTTTTTCCAAAACATTGCATTAATTTCCTTTCGACGTTAAGATCTAGCTATAGTAAACCAGTTGGTAGACCAGTTGTCTTTATTGTGTCAGACGTCATAAATACTTTCCGTATACAAGAAATTGCAGATCTTCACAGAACTGTGGGTGTTCCTTTATGTGGATAGTATAGTTCACGTTGATTTGGTCAAAAATATGAAATCAGTTAACAGGGAACAAATATTTCTTGGTTCAACAACAGAGTTTGCTTGTTACATGACCCTTTAGTGGCCGATCCACGACATTCAGGTTTTGCTGGGATCACGGAATCTCCATCTATCTGAAAGGATCTAAGCGGCAAGACAACAAACTCCCGTACAACCACAACGTTGCTGAGATATTTGCAAAACTCTGGACCGCAAGTGTCTATGGTGGTGAACGAACACGCTATTATCCTTTCCGGGGAGTAACGCGTTCACCACCACACCATGTGGGTCCTTCGTTTTGCCTGTCTTTCAGCTATTTCTATCGATCTTTGCCACAGCAATTACCCGTCAGCGGGATTGATCTGGGGCGCCCAAATCGGCATAGAACCCAGTTAAGCTGCGGCTGTAGTTGAAACTCCCGTACGATTTGAAGAAGTTAGCGATAAGCCCCAAGGGAAACTGCTTCAGGCTTCCAAAAAAAGTCACACATAGTCAGCACTCAGCAATACATATGAAGGCGGATTATCAAAATGGCTAACTAATTCCACTAGGAAACCTGTACAAAACGATTATTATACAAGGCCATCCACTGCAAAGTCCTGTCGCCTACTCGTTGTTACCCTCCCACGGACTCCAGTGATTTAACGATATGTAAAACCATACTTCAGCCACGTCTATTAGAGCTCTAAAGCTAATAATTCGGCGTATCTCTAAACCGTCTTAAACTTACCAGGAATACAAAGACGAAACAACAATTCCTCTAATGCTTGTTCAAGAATTGCTGTAATGCAAACTGGCACCTTAAAATGAATAGATGAACAAGAAAACAAATTTCATCGTTTAGTCATTTCTATAACAGAGCTGTCGAAAACGCGAACTCGTATTTCTTTTGATCAATACAAAAAATGTTCGTCTCACTTTTTTAAATTAACAACTAAAGAGACGCACCGATTCAGAAAATGGTTTTCCAGGGAGTTTCTCCATTAACCAGTAAAACAGTTTTCCAACTGATAGATGAAGTGATGCACGTTGAGACATACTTTTCTTCAGTGCATGCGATCCACCAGTACAATACATAGTCATCGCTTGGTTTGCTGCTTTAATACAAGAGCAAGACACCTTAGACGGAAAGAGAATCTGCAAGAAAATTATTGCTTGAACGTTGCTTTTTTTAACACTTTTTATTCGACCCGTCTTTCACATCTACTGTGCGGGTCCCAGCACTTTCTGCATTCAATTCGTTTTCTTTCCCTTCATAGTCCGCAATGAATATTCGAACATTTCGCATTTTTGGCTGCTTCTTGAGAATTTCATCTTCTTTATGAGTGTCGTGGAGTGCTGGTCGAGTCGATTCTGCTTGCAATCTTGGGGATAGCCCGGCTAAGGCGTTTCCATGTGGATTAGAGGATAGCTTTGGGAAGGGAACTAGCACTTTTGGTTCCTGATGAACGGCATCATTAAACACTATGCTATCCCTACCAGTGTTTAAGGTTCCAATTTCTCCATTTTAGAATTAATTTATGGAGAAGCAATGAAAATGAAGAGAGTATGTTAGGCAAAAAAGAAATTGTGCAGTTGGATTTCACTTGAAAATTTGATTGAAACATTATTGTCGTAGAAATATAAGCTGTATTTCTGTTAGCAAGCTATGCAATAGTAAATCCGATGAAGGATTAGGGATAAAGTGCTGCTGTTGATCAATCCCTAAGCTATGCTACGGTGAGCTCGCTTAGGTGAATTGGTGCATGATTGACCTATGCAATGCCTTCCATAGGTCTAACGAAGCATATAAATAGGGTTTCCGTCCTCCCAAACAAGCTTGATATCAGCTTGCCAATCCTGAAAGGGTGGTGTGGTTGATTCTCTTGAGAAGCAGAATGAAACAAATTAGTACTTGTATACTGAGCTGCACCTCCAACTGCCGCGCTGCAAGCTCTTCTTGTGAACGTGATATGACAACGGAAATCGAACACGCACTAATGTTTTACGATTATATTTGTGGACGAAATAAATTAACGACAGATCATTGAATCCTCTAGAAGATAAAGTAGGCGTAACCTTAGCCGATGTTGTTACATCGTCGTCGGTTGCCTTTGCATTATTTATCGAAAGCCTTTGAATGTGCTCAGCAATATTTTCCAAAGTATTCAGTAGCAAGTCAGTCATTCTGAAAGCAATAATAAATACTGTCTGAGAAATGTACTTTTGGTCGCCAAACCTTGGAAAAAATGATTTGTCGAAATAACTGCCATTTTTCTGCAATATTTTCTTGCTGAGGAACAGGTTGATGTCGCTCTCATTGAATGGACACTGGGAAGTCTCTTGGATAATGCTGAAAAACTAGCAGCTGCTATATACTAACAAGGTAATTCAAGGATAAAAGTGTATTTACAAGATCGATTAAAGACCAACTCCTTGCAAAGTGCAAAGTTGTCGATGGCTGAATGATTTGCACCGTAGACCCTCAGAATCGAATTGTCATCAGAATGCACTTCTCCTCCGTTCACGTAGATAACAGTTGTTGTCTTGTGCAATATATCTCCAAAAATATCACAAGTGCAATCAGTTAAATCGCTGTTTTCTACGCCGAAGACGTTTTGGCACTTACGATTAGGAGTAACCTCGTTGTGACCATGAAAATTTTCGACACTCGGTTCACGAGGTGTTGATCTATAACCACTGTCCGTAGGGCTTTTAGTCCTTGACGATTCGGTATCCACCTCATCAGCGATTCCATGACAACTTTTCCTCTTCAGACGGTATCTTGAACGTTCACAAACACTAAGTTGTTTTTTTTAGATAATAGTCAACACAATGGCACACTTGTTTAAAAAAACGTATTAAAGCTCACAAAGATTGCAAAAGAAAATCACAAAAAAAAAATTAAAAAACAGCCTTCAGTTTGCGAAAAGATTTCAGCGGGCAGCGGACATAGAGATGCAATGTAATACATGCATGACGTCTATGAAGAAGACCAAGGATCCTCAAGCATCAGCCGAATCCACAAATCAAAAAGCTTTAGTGGAATATTAACGCAGGGAAACCATGATCACATTCCATCCATTGCTGATAATACTTGTGGCGTATGCGAGTGTAGTGTAGCTGTTAGAGGCGTCTTATAGTACACATGAGATCAGTCCCGTGTCCCAGGCTCACCAAGCCTTCCAACCGGGGCCGGAAAATTGGTGACAGACTGGTCTGGCAAGGTAGCAGAACTGATTCGATACAACGGTAGGCTACCGCGAGTTATTGTATAGGCTAGATATGCATTCAAACTCCTTCAGCGATGCTTAATGAAGTCGAATGCATAGCACATCCATCAGACATTAATCAACACCGAGAGCTTTACCCTTTATCCTTTTTTATACTTGTATCGATTAGTCGAGAAAGCACAAGGGTCCGTATCTAACTTGGAACTCCTACGCGTAGACGTAAAGCGACCATTTTCCATGTCATCGATGGTGCTAGTATCAAAAGGTAGTGTCGATACCTGTCTTTCATCCGAATAACTGTATAGCTTCAATCGAGCCCTAACCTCGCAAAATCCTTTATCAAAAATGGGTATAGCAAAGGTAGTTTGAAGTTATCTGAAATCAACAAGCTCTACTCAGCGAGAGCCCGACCAAGCACTTTTGGCTACGAACCAAAACGAAAAGACAACGACATTATTGGTTAAGCGAGATCATTCTTGGATCGTTCAAGAGAGTGAAGCCACTGGACTCCTCTGGCCCGTAAGCCGCCTTGCGAATAGGATTCCTTCACCATAAAATATCACGTGGCTGCAATCAGGCGGAACTGTTGAGGTGATTAGGCTTTTCGAAGCGTAATAAATATCTTTACAAAGGTTGGAAGATTTCGCTTACTCATTCTCTTCAATGACGTTCACATTTGGAACGCTCCTATACAGACCATGGTGACCTCTGCGGGCTCGCCTCAGGAGGACTGGCGATGGTGATTGCAATGGGCAAAGTCGCGTCATCGCCGAATGTCGCCGCTAAATATCAGAAGTGAAAGTGAATATTTATCAACCTCACTTGCTACCCTTTTTCTTTCGCACTTTATTTTTTTAAATTATACGTGGTTTTATATCTACTATATTTAAATCATTTCATACATATTATATTTAAATTATATATGTTTTTGTAATGAAAATACGCCTACGAAAAAAAAACAACAATGGTGCAGAGATTTTTGCAAAAGTGGGAACTCCAGTTGAGCTTCGAATTCACGACTACGCTTTCCGCCGGTTCACGTGTTACTCACTGCACCATCATTCTCTGCCTTTCTCTCATGCAGTTTCTTACCCTAACGGTGCCATCAGTAATCAGCCGTCTATTGGAATAATGTGAAGAATACATATCTGCATCGAATTCAATTAGGTGGTGCAGTGGATAAAAAGCGTGCTTCAGGAAAGGGTAATCACGAGTTCGAAACTCACCCTGGAGTTTTGCAAATATCTCAGTATCGTTGTGATTGTATTTCATACAAACCCTGCTGTGAAAGAAGGGAGCAAATAAAAAAAATTGAACACTGCCATTCAGTAAAACAGTCTTAGTTAGTTGCAGGACAGAAGGTAATGATAATTCAATGTAAGTGCGAATAAATATTTTACCCTTCTCATTTCGTCAAAATGTGGTGATAACCGTGATAGGTTTAGAGAGGGAATGTAGACGACATCATCGGCTGGTACGACGCCGTTCTGAAAATCACCATTTCCTTCAGAACATTTCCTCATATTTCAAGGAGCGAGTTTCCTTCAAATGCGACATGAGTAATCCACATGTATTTTTCTTATTGATTGCTAAGAAAAGATTGACAGAAAATTTATTCGGTTAACGCTTCGGTGCCACAGCCTTTTCCAGAACTGAATTGTTCCGGGTCGATTGTCAACAGTCCTTCATCTTAGCGCGTTGTGGGTCTTCGTAGTTGTTCGAGTCAACGTTCTTCAGAGGAAGACCACTAACATTTTCATGATGTGGGAACAATTTCAAGTTCGGCATTTAAAAAAACAAACAATCTTCTTTTTTGTGATTAGTATACGAAGTATGTGACAAGAGTAGACCTCTCCAATGATCAAACCCGTCAAACCGTGAGAGTGCCAGCACTGCTAGTTTGTTATTTAACGACTAAATCTTTATCTGTGTCAAATATACGAATCCAGTAAATTGGCATCTCAACTTTTATCTACCAGGAAGAACGGATTGCTGAAAAACATGGTTTCGTGATTTTTCTCTAGAGGTGTGGAGAGCACTCGTTGCAATAAGCACTCAGTTTCACATATCACCCACTCCTAGTGTTTTTCCAATTTTGTTTTCATGGTTTAGATCAGTTTACAAAGGAGGATTGCAGAGAATGAAGTGAAAAAGAAGAGTAAAAAATTACATGAATAAAATTTATTCACTGTGCTATATATTTGCGAAAACCTTTTCTAGATCTGATAACAAATTCTTCTTCTCTTAGAGTATCCTTTCATAAATAAGCTCAAGCTAAACACTAATTTACATATAATTTTTGAAGAAATCTACCTTATTTGCATGAGGTGCGGAGCTGCTTGAGGAGTGAGAGAAGGCTCCGCCACGTAGGTGTCGTAGGACCAGTGTTAATTTGTCAGGAAAGCTTTGTTCCAAACCATTTGTTGACAGCCGCGATTTATCTTTCACTCTACGCGATAAAATATCATGATAAATAAAGTTTTTCTGAATTCTTCAGACCGTATTATACAGTAATCCATCGTCAATCACCTACTTCAAGCCCATTTTCGGGGAAAGGGCGCAGAGGCGTTGAGAGCTGTTAGTGACTCACTGGTTGTCCGCTGGTTGCAGAAGTCGTTGACTGCATGTGGAAACAAAGAGAGTTTATTTTCAGGTCATATCAAAGAAAACATTGTTATTTAGTTGCAAATTTTCGGTGATCACATTCTTCGGTGTCCACTGAACTGACTTCTCCAGTTAAAGGCTCTCAAAACCTTTCAGCCGCTGATAACTCGCGCCACTGTTGTTTTTATCATTTGTTTACATGCGCTTAAAAAATGCAGCCACTTCAGGTCATAGTATACGACTTATAGGAAGCCATGTTTATAGGGTTATAGTTAGTATGTAGAAATCAAAAAAGAAGAGCCTAGATTAACATCTCAGCAACACTCCTATAAGTATATAAAAACGAAAAAAAATAATATTTGGTTTATGAACCGGTTAGATGAATAAACAGCCACCAGAGAACTGGAAGAAACGATGCACGAGAAAAAGAACGAGTGAGGACTGTCATAAAGGTACACAGTGAAGTGAACTGGTCGCAAGTAACATTCGACAACCACAAGAACACCAAGATATGATCAAAACTCAGAACCTCAGTTAGGCTCGGAACCTGCAATTACCCTTTATAGGAACTCACGAGTGATCCTCCACACCAACCAAAGAAAGCTTTGAATTTCTCTTAGCCTTGTTTTTGTTCGGTCGGTACTATTAGCAGTCAATCATCAACGGAATAACTTAGGGAGCACAAGTCGGGATTGAACACAGTTAAGCTGGAGTTGCAATTGAAATCACAATGTTTTAGCCTTCATTTTCTACCTACTAATTCTTCATGGCAGGATACGATGCGAAATACAAGCAAAAAAGCAGTAGGAAAACAGCAAAAAGAAGGCCTTGTTTGGTGAGGTGGATAGCACGTGAGCTCCCTAAAAGGGTAATCGCGAGTTCGAATTCCAATGAAGGTTCAAAATTTTGCTCATATCTCAGCAACATTGTCGTTGTAGTTCACGTCGTACCTTGCCATGAGAAAAGAGTAGTCGGTAAATAAAGATTAAGACACTGTAGCATTCGATAATTCCAATGGATTCACTTATTATGTGCGCAGTCACTTTTCCTTCATATTTATAAAAGAGCAAGTACTGTATGAATACTGATAAGTATCGGCTACCAGCTAAATACGGAATTAAAGCCTCAGCAACAAGACGTAATAGTACTAAATTCAACTTTTTTATTAGTTACTTAATATGACAAGGGGTGGATAGCACAGTGGCTGTGGTGGCGCTCATCATGAGCACAGTGCTGGTTTGATCCCGCACCAGGCTCGCTAAGCTTCTCATCCTTCTGGGGTCGAGAAAGATAGCGGACTTGTCCAGGAAAAAAACTACTCCCTGTAATTCAACTGGGAACGCTCCAGTCTAGCTATCTCAAGACTCCAGGAAAAATTGTTCGACCATCATTCTATGACGTTTAAGATGAAATCAAAATCCTCAAGCAGCAGCCTAAATCTCACGTAAAAGTTGGAAGACTTTCGTGGATGATGGATGCGAAGAGAGGAATCGAATGTGAAAAGAGCTGGGATCAGCACAGTAGATGTGAAAGACGGGTCGTATGAAATGAAAATAAAATAAAAAAGACCTACTATGACAGTCAATATTTAATGGGATTTCAAAAAGAAAGGAAGTTATCGAGACATTTTTCAGGAAGAAAATAAAGCAAAGTAAGTTTTTTGCTATCATGTTACGTGAATTTCTCTATGTATGTGATTTCGATTAGAAACTGGCTTTTCACTACCAAGAACGCATCATCACATCTAAACGCACGTATACGCTCTCAGATGATTTTCTCGAAGCGAAAAAAAGAGAGAAATGACACTTGATGAGATAAGCGAAAACCACTCATGATCGTTCAAACTTTAAGAGGAGCCTCTAAATCTGACCCGTTGTCACTAGATGGTGGTCAACTTGGCAGGAACGTGCTCACCTTCAACTATCGCGATCATCAAAACGAGCCGAAACGCAAGCAAACGGCCCCCATACACGAAAACCCGTACGGATTCGTAAACTACAACTAATATCCTACTCGAATACTCGAATAATATACTTTCCGTGATTTAATTTTCGCCGCATTTCTACACTATTTTTCTCATCGTAGAAGAAAATCTAGGAGAAGTAAAGTCGAACACAGTGCTACTGAGACTAAACAGTTTACACGAAGAAACAATATTGGTAGAAACTCCCACTTCCGACTTTCTATTAACCTCGGCATTGATTGAATAATTCTTTCTACTTTTGTTCAGCAAACACGAGGTGTTATTTTATTTCTTTATTTACGCACAAACTGACACCAAAAAAAACAAAAAAAAAGCAAAACATAACATAAATAACACCTCGTGTTTGCTGAACAGAAGTAGATGGAATATTGGTAGAATTCATCGTGTAGATGCTGGAAGGGAATTGGGTGTAAATCTACTTCAATATGTTGAAACGGAAACCGATATAGGAAATAAATATTATTTTCTTTCTGAATAAGCTATTTATTTTACTTGGATTCCTTCTCTCGAATAATCTCACCTCGACGTCCTTCATAAAAGCAGTTCATAACCTCTTAAATGTTTGCATTTCAATACTAGAGACTGGCTTTAACGCCAAAAAACTAATATTTGCCTATATACATTTGCAAGAAATACACCACAGTGGGTATACAATACAGACCGAATAGATGCCCTGAAATTAAGAATTTATTACTCCGTTCGAGGCTCTATTATTGCAGGATTCTAATATATTTTAGGCTTGTACATCATGCATTATATGTCGATTGAATATAGATCAAAGGAAAATGGATAAAAGATAAAAGGAGAAAGAGGTGATGGATAAAGATAGGTGCACTGAACAATTTGATCAGTTTCACTGAAATGAAACTCTTCGTCTCCACTATACTCGTAAAGTAGTCGAGCAACTGTGGATTTGGCCTGTCCCACGACTACCAGAGGTCGATCAATACTTAATTCCAATTACTGATGTTAAGAAGTATCTACAGAGCAAGTTTAATATTCTACAAGTGACAAACGACGTTTCACGCGTGACTTGTTCATTACTATGGAGAATGTTGCTGGCATTTTGAAGAGTGAGTGAATGGGATCTTCATTGAAGTAAGGAACCTTGAAAATCGATGATTCTTTGAAACGACGCACACACACGTACATACACATACACATGTGTACACATGCACACATACATGCACATACAGACACACCTACACACACACACACACACACACACACACACACACACACACACACACACACACACACACACACGTACCGGTGCGCGTGTTTGAATCACCTTCTCCATCGCCGACGATTGCATTTGATTTACATGCGAACAGTGTGAACGTTGAGAATGAGACCATAAACGAGCACTTAATGCGTCTTTATCTATAGTCATTAACATGTGAAAACAGTCTTTTTCAATCCTCATAGAACTTCTTAACCGATATGAGCGTGTTGTTCGATGGTTTGCAGTTGAAAAACCGTGCCTATGAGTGACCAGTAAAGCATCTCTCGCAAAAATAAAGAAGGAAGCTCCATCTATGTTCTCGAAATGCAAGAGGAAATAACATTCCTCCCAAAAAATCACTGGCGTCATCGGCATGACAACAAAATGGTGGAATAGCAGAGAGGTTCACTTTTAATGTGGTTAAATAAGCTATCGCAGCAGCACAGAGATGGAATCGCTTAGAATTTCACAATTATGTGAAGAACAAGCTATGTAACAATCTTTTTTTATGAACATAATAATCCTACCCACTAGAACTAGGATTCAAGATATGAGTAAGCTGGTAAATCAATGATGACCAGTAAAATATTATGTAGAAGACGAGGAATATTATTATGATATGGATGATATCATCGAACGTAAATGGTGGGATGTTCGACGACGAACCGAAAGGTGTAACATGAGTACTTGAGACGCGCGTCCATGAACCCTCAAGTGTCGCAGACCCTCGGATTCTACCGTAGCCTTCAACTCAGCTAAAGACCAGATCAAAGAAGAAAGAATGTGAAAAGGGACGAAAAGGATATCTATCAAACACTCTGCCCGAATTTAAACTAAAACTCCGCACAACGCAAGGTCGACTAGAAACGCGAGAGAGTATCTTGTCCTAAACGATCCATCGATGCCCAGAAAATTACCAGGTGCAATAAAGGGTAAAACACCATATGATTATCATGCCCAGATGACAAATAAATAGTTTAACACTGATGAATTAAAAACTCCATTAGATTGCTAGCAACGAAAAGGTTTTGACGAAGTGAATCTGGTGAGCAGTGTAGAAGAGATTCGGGAAATATCTTGATTGATTCGACTACAATCTGGTATAAAGCAAGTGAAGACGATACTAAAAAAATATGGATGTGGTCTAAAAAGTTTAAAAAAGATGGAGAATCCCCAACAAACCGCAACTAGTGTGAAATCAACCGATGAATGATAAATGAACAGCTTTGGGCTCAGAAATTTTACACTACCATTTCCTCATTTACGACTGTCCATAAATTGCACTTGGGTGATAGGAAAGTACAGCACAAAGTATTTCACACCTCTTAACAGTCGTTCTCTTTCAATGTCTTGAAATTGAGCGAACGATCCATTGAAGTCAGTGCGAAAGATTTCTCTGGTTTTCTGAATGCTAACGTATTTTTAACAACTCTCGGAAGTCGACTAATGAACGATGGGAATCGAATCTGTATATGGACTGAAGTAAATAATAAATGCAAGACACGTAAAATGAACTTGTATATAAACTGATATACAAAAAGATATAAATTGGAAAACGAAATGGCGCAGTTCTTCAACAGAATGGTTCTTTTCTGCTCGGGAAACGTTCCAAGAAATCTCAAGGCATTTTTATATTAGAGGATGGAGATAACCGAAAGTGATTTCAAGTCTTTTAAGCTTTGCACGTCTTTATTTTAATTTCGTCAACATTTTTCACCAGGTTTATTTTTTCAACGCTTAATGGATACAAAGTATTAAAGCTGGTGATGCTCAGAGAAATGGAAGCAGAACTTCAACTTTGCTTAGATAAAGAATAAAGCGTAAAGCTCTCGGCGTTGATAAATCCCTTCCTGTAAGGACGCGCCATGCATTCGACTTCATTAAGCATCGTTGGAGGTACTGAATGTATACCTGACCTTTACAATGACTCGCAGTGGCCTACTGATCTAACGAGCCAGTGCTGCTATCCTCCCAGACAAGCCTGGCACGAATTTGCCGACCCATGATAGATGGAGGGCTTGATCAGCCACAAGGCGCGGGGATCGACCCGTGTACACTGCGTGCGCCTCCGATCACTGTGCTACACACGCCTTAGCTTCACTTTGGTACAATATGAAACCCGTGATATGTAGTCTTCGAAATTCTTGATTTTGAATACGCTGTTGAATAATATCTTCGGTGCAAATTGTTCACATCTCAAGCGGTTTCGATAGTGATTGACAGTTGCTGTAATCATTGTTCTTCCATCAAAAATGGTCAGCAGCGTGTTCTGGAAAAAACCAGTAATTCCGTGGTTGGAATGGCTTTGCAACGGCGTACATGATGAATAGACACAGTTTATAATGTGTTTGTATGAAAATAAATACATTGCAACTGAGACCAGGGGCAGTACAAAGGACAAAAAGAAGAAGAAAAAAAAACAAAAATGATGGCGATTCCGAAATCGCAGTGATGATTCTCGTGACAGAATCAGAAACTGAAACGCGCAAAACTCTTGCGGCATTTTGCATATATTACGAAATTCGAGAATGAGTCAAGATAACGAACACCTTAACATCAAAGATGACTTCGCGTTTATCTCAGATTAATCTTCTTATCTGAGATCTTCATTCATCATTGCACTTGAACGACACACGGTCGGCACCACTGTTTAGAATGCAAAATCGGTTAGCTGCTTTAATAGAATAGGATTTCGTTTGTACATTAGATTTTGCTCAAGACTCTACAATCTTCGCGGAATAATAAGAGTAAGGCTAAATAACTATTCGTGTTGGCTCTAAGAAAGGCGACATGGCCCAAATGTTAGCCATCGAACATCAAAATTATGCGCTTACACTCTCGTACCTGTAGATAAAGGAAGACAAATAAGACAATACAAATTAACGTCGAGGTAACCTGAAAGTCTACTTTTTGAATTATTACATTGGGAATGTACACGCTGTGAAATGTTGAAAAAATAAAATACGACTATCTGGACTGCCAACTGACGCGTCAAATCGTCAATTCACTTGAAGTCTACTAGACGACAACGCTCTTGGTTAGAAACAGTGTCTCTGAAACTTCTCTAGAAAATCTTTCTTTCTTGGAAACGAGCGTCATTTCGGTCACTTTCATTGGTCTATCTAAAGGGCACTAATATTTTTTTCATTGCCAACTACAAGTGATTCCTGTTCTTCTCCTTCTCTTCTTAGTTTATCCCATGAACAAGCCTATATTTAGAACTTCAACTCGATTCCTACTGGAATGATTTATTTATAGAACTATCTTTATGCTCATCGTTAAGAAAGTGGGTATCTCATTCGTACAAGATGATTGGGATATATTTACTGATAAATCGATCGATTCTGTAATCTTATACGGTATTGGAGACTAACGAGGCGCGTGTAGCGCAGTGGTCAGAGGCGCCCTGCAATACACATGGGATCGATCGCCGTTCCCCAGGCCCACCAAGCTCTCCATCTTTCTTGGGTCGGTAAGTTGGTGTCAGACTTGTCTGGGAGGATAGCAGCACTGGCTCGATACATTGGTAGGCCATGGCGAGTCATTGCAAAGGCCAGATATGCATTCAATCACCTCCAGCGATGCTTACTGAAATCGAATACATGTGTATCCCTCAAGAAATGACCAACGATGAAAGCTTTATCCTTTTTTATTAGAGAATAACGTTATACAAGTGTAATGCTCTATGTTTGTAAATCAGCTCAACAAGAGGTTGTTGCGAAGTTTATAACTATGTACTGGGTGGCATCCTCTGACTCGTCTGCAACCCTTCTTGAGATCATAACGTGTGTATATAGGTAAGAGAAGGAGAAACTGTGCACGATAGTAGTTACATTCATATGAAGTGACCGATTTTCTTCATAGGCCTTTTGATATACACGGGCTTCATAAATTAGACGGAAAAAAGCCTTCACTTCTGCTAATTTCTAATATATACGGAGATGATGGTGAAGAGGGGCACTGAGGTCACTAATGTATGACAAATGACGTGAAGCTTAGTATACGAGAATGTATAGAACGCCGACATACAAGCTTAAACGATCCGAATCGTTGCTCGACGGACAACTCGCGTCACAGCGCGAATTTGATCTACCCGATCGAATTAATACACGAACGGTTCGATGGTAACGGCTGCTCCGATCGTCCGCGGGTGCTACTGGAGTTAATTCCTTGTCATTCATGTAACGGTATGAGTTCTCCAATACGAGTCTGGGTACGAACAGAGTAGTGCTCTAGTGACGAGCAGTTCGTCTAGTTATCGTGACACTAATCAAAGTGATTGTCTGCATCGTAGTATTCCTGGCACTCTCTGAGTTGTTATGCGTTATTGTCATCCTGTTGTCCCTAATGATCAGCTAATTACGTGGCTCAGGTTGCCTTTGACCAATTGTTATATCCCAGCCTTTGTTATCGCTTTGTCTAGAAAGTCCACTTTCTTTGCTAGATTTGCCTCTAATTATTGCTCTACAGTGCGTTCACGTTGTTCACCTGTCGAGCAAAATCTCTTACCGTGTGCTTGATGAATTCCATGGAAAGGCAAACGGTGGTCTTTGTGTGTATTACTTTCTTCTACATGTTTCTGTTCGTACTACTTCCCATTGTCGTCCGCTTGTTTTCATTCCACTGTACAATTTCGCATTCACTAGAAGTTGCAGTGAGCGTGTTTTACAGATGAAGCACATCGGTTGGTCGTTTGACCATCGGCACGACTACATTGAACTGGTGAAACCTGATCAGACGACGTGAGTCACTTTCGGTTATAGTTTTGAACTCAATTTTATTCGAACAAGGTCAGTTACTTGTAATTAATTGTTCTGTAGTGATGGACCCCTCCCAACGGTTTACCGCCTCATCGTGGCTGGGAGGTGTTTCTGGCTGTCGGACTGTGATGTACAGCGGGGTGATTCGTCTCCCAGGCAGGATCTTCCAAGCTGATAAGGAGTCCAGCGTTTCCATCAGGAAGCCTAGCTAAGAGTAAACTAATACCAGGATCCACCACCGTCCGGGTACCAAACTAGCCGTATGGTGGCAAATCTCCTTTTGATCCACAAAGGCAACGATAGCCTGTGGTGGTGAAGTCCTGTGGCAGACTTTAGCCAGGCTGACCTCGGGATTCCAATGAACCACAGTGGT